GTGTTTAATGTCAGTAGGGAAAACCCAGGAAGTATGTGTGGTAAGAACTTGTTTTTTTTTACACAGAAAGAACGAAAATAATAACAACTAATTCAATTGCTAACTCTGGCTACCCTATACATCACATTCAAAAATTTCAAAAGGAAAGTTATTATTTAAACACCCACTGATATTTAAAGAAATCAAGCAAATTTATGGGCAATTACAATAATGAACACTAAAATCTCTTCCTGTGAAACCACATCTACAACTACCCACAGCTTAAACGCAAAAAGTCTCGTGGACACAGATTAAAAATTCCTTAACCAAAATATGTCTGAGGATGGCCAATGTCCTGCAATTATTCGCAGTGGGTTCAGACTCCAACTGAATACGGAATAATGTAAATACGAAATTGAAATTATATGTAAATGTATAAATTTCTGCCGCGGACAGCCGGGTAAGGAAATATACGAGACTTCATTACCAACTTTTGATTACTGTGGGCTTTTGAATGTGCCCTTAGCAGTGACTTGGTGTTCTTCAAGAGTTTAATGTATTCGAAGTATTTCTATAAAACCGACTATGAAAACTGTGACATCATAAAATCGTAGTCCTAAATGAGATAAATATATTGGTTGGGTACATAGATACTGTCACGCCTATAATCCCTGAAGGAATAAGCAGTAATAAGCATAATATTATTTCTATTTTTAAATATAATTTTAATCATGTTTTGCACGGTCATTTGGTGTGGGTCAGGATGTAGTTTATCTATAATATGTACACATTTCGAAATGGATAAGATATAATTCTATTATTATCTACCTTTCCTTGGCATAACCCTTTGAGTGCTGAGGTTTTCAGTGAGGCCGTGGTATTATTCTGGTCTTTCCCACATATATCGAAGCATGGTTCTCCCATATACCCTATCTGTACCCTATCTATCCCCTATAAGAAACCTGTTTTTATATTATCATTTAATTTAAATAGGAGACCTCGTTGTCGTTTAGACCTGGAGTCAGTTAAAACGAATGCGTTATTAATGTAACAGTTGTACCTAAGTAATTGTCGTGATTACAAAGTCTATTGTATAACTAATGTGTCTGAGTGTACCTGTCTCCCGACTTGTGACTAATTGTTGTACGGTAGATATTTTATTAGGATGCTTAATGGTAGCAGAATATGTCATGGAATAATATTTCAGAGGTAGTTGGTATGTGATATATTAGGTATTATGCGCAAGATGTATACCTGCAACTTCCTACCCATCGTTTTTTTTAGTCGCAGCGGTAAAGAATCTATCGATACATCTGATGACATGATGATCGATAAATCAGTAGTTTATTTAATCAGTCGAAATATTACAAGAGTGTAATATTGAGTGTTCCACATACATAAGTGTTGATTTTTAAGAGGATTATTTGAATCGGTTAGTTATTCAAACTATATGAAAAACTGCTTGAAAAAAGAAGTACTCTGGTTTTTTTAATATTTTGTCGACGTCCATACAATGACTTTGTTTTTTTTTCATGTTGTCATTTGCGGAACAGTTTTAACAGCCTAAGAATAAATGCTTATGGTATTATTCACCTCGTTCGTCTTCCTTACGAAATATAATAGTTATATCGATTTCAATAAATTGGTTTTAAAATATTATAAAATATATTCCCGCTCAAGTCAAACATTTGTGTGCATGAACATTTAATGTTTGAATTGGTCTGGGTGTTTCTATGTATAATAAGTTTGTATTTACAAAAAAAAAGTATATAGATATGTACTTATATCAGTTGTCTAGTACCCATAGTACAAGCTCTGCTTTGTTTGGGACTAGATGGCGTTGTGTGAATGTGGTACAATATGATTTATTTATTTATATTTTTAAAATTGATAGTGTTTTATATTATTTACTGGGTTATGCGTTTCTGAATATGACCACACCCTTCTGTAACACTATACACCGAGCCCTTATGCCCTGTATATTTACTTTGAAAGATATCGTATAAAATCGAAAACAAAATCTGTCCCAAAAGAATCTCATACACATTTAGGAAAAAAACATAATAAGATCAAGAAGAGGACCTTCTGTTATCCCAAACTAAGTTTGCTTACGAACCCGTCCAATAAACTAAATAAGAGTCGATATGTTTTTAGTTACCCTCTCTGAGCTTTAACGGGAGGGCCGAGGGTCACTTCAAACTTTATTCTTGGTACGACCGCGGCAAACGAGATTGTCGCACCCAGTCACACATGTGTGGTTTTATATTAGATAGAAAGGGACATGGTAGATATATTAACGACTTAATTTTAAGACAAATATTGTCAACTAACTGCTGGCGGTGGGTCTATTAGATTCTATCGACTGCTCAGCAGTAAATTTGTTTAGTGAAACTATTTAGTGAACTTATAATAATAAATACTATTAACTGTATTCCACAGAAATAAAAAGCAAATACACAGGAAAATAATATAATACATACATACATAAAATGCACAACGGGCGGCTTTGTCGCAAAAACTATGTAATTTAGGCAGCCTTTGGATGGACAGGAGTAGTGATTTTTTGACTGTGAGTGCATATCTTCTTTTTTTATAAATATAAAACATGTTCTATAAGCACTTATAAATGTCCAGAATAATAACATATTTAATAAATAAATATAAAAAATCATGTACAAACACACATAAACGGAAACGTACATAATTGTGATTGTGTGTGTGTAAATGTGACTAGTGTTTTAACCTCTATGCGCCTAACCACTCACGATTTCTACACTACCTAAAGCTAGACTAGGAGAGAATGCCTTGGGCATTAAGTCCGCCGATGTACAAATGTGCATAAAGTTATAAATAAAAAATAAAATAATATAAATAAATAATATATAATATATCATCATATCATATGAATCGAATCATATGTATCTTGATATTTACTTTCACAATGTAACTAATGCTAAAAACTGGAATACAAACTAAACACGTGTTTACCTTCATTTTCCTTTTTTTTATGGAAGAGGGGGCAAATGAGCATACGGGTTACCTGATGCAAAGCGACAACCGCCGCCCATGAACGCTTGCAACGCAGGAGTTAAAAGCGTGGACAAGCGTCACAAGGAGTCTTCATAGCCCAGAATTGACATAGACAACTTTTGTTTTATGATACAGGTGGGTAAACTAGTAAACCAGTCACCTGATGGTAAGTGACTATCACCGTCCATGGACATCTGCAACTCAAGAGTTACAAGTTATTTGTTATTTAAAACGACAACTCCCGCATTAGGAATATATCCTGTGTCGCAGGAGAACTTTCCAACATACATGAAACGGACACAAAGAACCTCCAGACTCAGAACAACAATTTTTGTATCACACGAAGTGATGTCCCATGTGGGGATCGAACCCACTACACTCAGCGGAGTAGGAAGCGGCGTGACCGCTTAAACCGCTATGGCATAGCGGTTTCGTAGCTTCGTGCAGTCTGTGCGTACGCTGCTGCCTTTTGTGTCCTCCCCGGAATCATTGGGAAGAGGGATTTGAGCTCCTGCAACCTGACTCACTCGGTAAAAAGTAATGAAGAAAAGGCTTAGCACCGGTTTTCTGTAAGGCCCATGGTATCACCCCGGTCGAGCTAGCCTATTTGTGCTCAAGCATGGCTCTCAAAGAACTATCTTTGAGAGCCATACCAGCCATTTGTTTGTAAGAACCGATATTAGTTTAATCTTCAACGTCTTCGTACACATTAATGTAAATTAAAAATAAATTCTGAAATGTTACAACTTATTATAGAGTTTAATATTCATCCCGTAGGTGTCGTAAGAGCCGACTAAGGGAAAAAACTACACAGAACAACAGCACTGCAGAGAGAAGGAAAACTTGACACAAACCCTATACCAACCCGTCTGGCCAGCGTGGTATAGTAGGCCAAAACCTCCTTTCAAAGGAGAGGCCAGCAGTGGAATATTAAAGGCTGTTGATGATGATGATGATAGAGTTTAATTCTTGGACTAATTTTTGTATGTGTAACTACCATGGGCCGTCGACATACGTATTTACGTACGTACCGGGGCCATACAACAAGGTAGCACTCGAACTGATCGAAAAAACACAGTGCTCTGTTATCCGGTCTTAAGTTTGGAGTCTTAGGTTTACCCAGGAAATCTCTGTGATGTTTGTCTTAGTTAAATTTTAATTAACTCATTACATAAAAACGGTAACTTCATACTTCAATCTATAATAATGAACAAATAATGAAATTAGCTTTGCATGGAGTATACAAAACTTAAAGTAACTTTGTGTGCATAGGACGTTATCTTTAGAAATTAATAATTCCCTTAAATAAAATAGCTAATTGACTTTTAAAAGGGTTCCTTCTTTTTTTGTCATGTACCTACTTCAAGATTAGAAATAGAATTTTTAATAAAAAATTTAACGATCTTAAATATCTAAGGATTAAATAAAAACTTTACAACATCTCTGCTGTATATTTACCAGTGAATAAATTTAATGTGTCTAGACATCTATGTCTGCATTGCTAGAAGAATAATAAATGTTATGATAAGTCTCATCCTTTCGCCATGGGTTGATGTTTTCTAAAACTAATTTAGGCGAAATGAATATTTCAAGGATGGCGGGCAAGTTTTTAAATTATAATAATAGTAAACGATTTATCAATGAACAGTTAGAAAGTAAGAATATATCTATAAGTGTGAGAACTGGAACGTTACTTATCTGTGGCACTGTGTGCCAAAAGATATATAATCTGTGTTCCACTGGGGAAGTCCATTAAATTTACGTGTGCTGTTATACATAGTAATTAAAACCTATATAGTATTTAATATAATATACTGAGTTTTATTAATATATAACATTTGGCGACGAGGACGAACCATTATTGAAAAATATAGTAAAAATTAACAGGACTATCAAAAAAAAAAAAAAAAAAAATTGTAAAATAAAAGTGCCGGCCGGCGTGACGCCATCTTTTCATAAATTGATTGCAATGCACATTGCAATAAAATCTGATGTCAGCTTCGGAACCAACTGAAAGTTTGGATAAAAAAGGTCAAAAAGATAGACTACAATTAGTAAGGGAAGGAAAGAGAACTTTCATTTATAAATGTTCAAAAAGTGAATTACTACAATTACTGCAAGAAGAAAATATCTCATTTATCAGTGACAGTGTAGAGAATTTGCGAAAAACATTGAGCGAACATTATAAAAGTAAGGAGAATTTAGTAGAAAAGAAACCAGAGAAACAAAAAACAAAGATGTTCATGTACGGCGACCTGAAAATTTTCGACGGAGATAAATGGGAAGTTTTCAAAGAACAACTCGAATGTTTCATTCTTGTTAATGACATCAGCGATGACAAGAAGGTGCCATTGTTATTAACCAAAATATCACCATCAGTATTCGAAACTTTAAACTACCTATGCTCACCACACAAACTCAGTAAATTATCGTTTGATGAACTTAGCAGCAAACTTGGAGATAAGTATGCCAAACCATTGTCCACAGCTTTGGAGAGGGCAGCTTTCAGGAAAAGAAACCAGCTTCATAATGAAAACATTGAGGATTATGTTTTAGCTTTGAGAAAATTAGCTATGGCCTGCCAGTTTAAAGATAAGGAAGATCAAATTAAAGAGAAATTTATGGAAGGAGTATCGTCTAAGGTTGTCAAATTTGAATTGATGAAAACTGAGACGGAGCTGTCACTAGAAAAATGTATTTCACTGGCACGCACAGTAGAAGCAGCATTATTACAGACAAATAATAACCATGAAATGACAGAAGTCTACTATAGTAACAAAGGAAAACCAAAACAGGATACTAAGAACAAGAATAACAACAGTGGACAGTGTTTTTGCTGCGGGAAGAAGAATCATATCAAAGCAGACTGTACTCTGAAGTTAAAATACTGTTCAGAATGTGGTCAACAAGGCCATATATTCAGGATGTGTCCGAAAAAGCAACGACAAGCGAATGTGGTGGAGACGAACCCCGGGAATGTTAAAGAGGAGGAAAAGCAGGTGGAAGTACCCAGTAAAGATGTAAAGATGTAAGTTTGTCGAAGTGCACCGTCCGCATCAGAGTGACAGCCAGCAGATTGATGAAGGCAGGGCAAGGCATTTATGTGTTGAAAATAATAATATGTTAATTAAATTTGATGTCAGCACACATATGTCCGTGTGGTGACGAATTAAGAATACGGAGTATCACCACCCCCATTCATCCCGTGGGTGTCGTAAGAGTCGACTAAGGGAGCAAACTACGCAGGTCAACAGCATTGCAAAGAGAAGGAAAACTTGACACAAACCCTTTTTTTTTTTTTTTTTTTTAACGTGTGGAAATCCCCTCGGACCGTCACCCCTCCGGGGTTTGCGGCGGGGTGGTGTGTCGGACTCGGACCGACTAAAACCACACGGTGTGCCACTCTGCGCCTGTAACAGGAGGGATCCGGGAACAGCTGTTGTTAAGACATCCGGACCCCTCCTAGCGCCAGCCCGCTCCTGGTGCGGGCTCCGTCTCGATGTTTTTTCCTCTCTTTATAGGCGACGTCCGGCACACGCGGACGCCGCCCCCTCGCGGCTGGCCAAACTAATGCGGGTGGAGGGGAAAACCCACCCCGTCCACCCGCGGCCACACTCAGGGCGGCATGAGGCTGTGATAGGCGGGCCTCCGCCGCCCGGTTCGCCGGCGGCGGATCGGGTCCGAGTGGAGGTCGTCCTCCCGGGCCCTCTCCGCCGCCTCCTTCCGCGAGATTACTACCTCGCAGAAGGTAGCGACCGCGGTAAAACAACTGTCGCTACCGGCCATGGAGCGTACTACGGCCGGTAGCGAGAGATCCACTCCGATGACTGCAGTGAGGGCCCGACGCTGCGCCGCCCATGCGGGGCAGACCGCCAGCGTGTGCTGGGCCGAGTCCTCACTGCAGTCGCAGTGGTGGCAGGCGGGACTCAGTTCCCTCCTTGCGACCGTGTGCAGGTACTTTCCGAAGCAACCGTGCCCGGAAAGCACCTGCGTCAGCCGGAAGGAAAGGGTCCCGTGCTGCCGCCCCTGCCCACTCGGCGATGACCGGCTGGAGAGCCTCCACGGCGGCGAAGCCAGCGCGTGGAGTCTCCAGCCGGAACGACCAACGAGCCATCGTGGCTCGGCGAGCGGCTTCGCGCCACTCGCGCCCATCCTCGGGCGGAGGGCGAAATCCGCTCTCCGCCCGGAAGTCAGCCACTCGCCGATAAACTTCGGCGAGCACTTCCGCCTCCAAATCCCACGGGGGAGTTCCGGCCAATGCGCATGCCACCCTCCGTCGAAACGGTGCGGTAACCGCGTATGGCTCTGACCGCCATTACCCTCTGAGGGCGCCAGAGGCGTACCCTATTCTGGGCGGTCAGAGCCGCCGCCCACACCGGTGCACCGTACAGTGCCATTGACCGGACAACCCCCGTGTACAGCCGTCTTGTCGCGACGCTGGGTCCACCCATATTGGGCAGAAGTCGCCCTAGGGCAGACGCAGCGCCGACCAGCTTTGGAGCAAGCTGTCGGAAGTGCTCGTCGAAGAGCCACCTCCCGTCGAGGATCAGGGCCCAGATATTTCATCTGGGCCCGAACCGGTACGAGGACCGAGTTGACCACGATTGAGGCGCCAGGGGGTGGACCACGACGGGGCCCATGGAATAACAGGGCCTCCGTCTTATCTAGGGCCACCCGTAAGCCCAGCGCCTCAATGCGCCCGACCACCAGGGAGACTCCCCCTGTGGCCAGGCGCGCCGCCTCTTGGAAGTTTGCCCCCCGGGCTGTCACGAGGGTATCGTCTGCGTAACAGATTACACCCAGCCCGGGGGGGAAATCGGCGCGACAGGGGCCCAGTCGTTACCCTATGTTCCACAAGAGGGGTCCAAGAACAGACCCCTGTGGAACACCGCACGACATGGGCCGACTCCTCAAATTACCTTCTCGGTCCTCGTACACGACGGTACGCTCCTCTAAGTAGTCTGCCACTAGCCGCCTCAGGTACTTTGGCACCCCATGATAGTGGAGTGCTTCCCTGATGCAGCTGAATGGCAGACTATTGAATGCGTTGGCGATGTCTAATGACACCGCCAACAGCACGCCGCCACAGCTCACTGCCTCTTCGGTCACGGCCCTCAGGCGCAACACGGCGTCGACTGTCGAACGCCCCGCCCGAAAACCAAATTGGGCGTCCGACAGATCGGGGCCCACCTCGCAGAGGTGCCGGACGATGCGGGCAGAAAGAACCCTCTCAAACAATTTGCCCGCCTCGTCCAGCAGCACGATGGGCCTATAGGCCGCGACCGAATCGGCAGGCCGTCCCGGCTTCTGCAGCAGGACCAGCTTCCCGCATTTCCAGCACTCAGGGAAGCGTCCGGACGCCAGGCTAGCGTCCAACACCCCCCTGAGGTGGTCCGACATGTAGTCGAGGGCTCGGGCCATCACTCGGGCTGGAACCCCGTCCGGCCCGGGGGCGGTGTTCTTGGATCGAATCCGTAGAACAGCCGCCCCCAACTCCGATTCCCTGACGGGCGGAACATCGACCTCGCTGACCCCGTCGTCTCCGGCTGATGCAGCCATTGACGGGGGTGTGTGCTCCGCCCGCTGCGGGAATAGGCCCTCGACCACTTCCTGCAGGAAGCTGGGCTGGAGAGTCTCCGTAAGGGGGGGGCCCGACGCGCGGAGCTTTTGTCGCACCGCGCGGTAAGGGCGACCCCAGGGGTCACGATTAAGACCCTCCAGCATCTCCTGTCTCTTTTCCTCTTTGGCGCGGCTAATGGCCAGCTTCAGAGTTTTCCGCGCCCGCCGGTACTCCTCATGAAGCCGGTCCTCCTCACCGTCTCCACGGTGACGCCGGCCGACTGCGTGTGTAGGACCTCCGGGCACGTGTACAGGCCGCACGGATGGTCCGCCAGCTCCTGGGACCACACAGTAGACCTCCTTCCTGGAGGCCGACGACCTCGCATGCGGGGCATGGCCGCATCGCAGATATGCGTAATCGCATCGCGAAAAGCGGCCAGCCCCCACGTCGACCTCCTCAGGTCCGGAGCCTGAGGAGACAGCCACGAGTGAATTATGGCTGCCTCCTCTAGTAGGTCCCGGTTCAGTCTGGCAACAGCCCACCGCGGAAAGCGGGATAAACGCCGCGCCACGTGACCCCCTACTGGAGTCCTGGGTCCGGGAGAGCTCAAATCGGATATACAGGTGATCCGAGAGCGTCTCAACCTCTTCCAGGACACACCAGTTCCTTACTCGTGCGGCGAGGGCAGGGGTAGCGAACGAGAGGTCCACTATCGACCCCCCCTGCTGTCGCACGCACGTGTTGGTGGAGCCTCTGTTTAGAAGACAGAGGCCCACCGAGGCCGCCCACTCCTCTACGGCCTCGCCCCTTGCGTCCGTCCTGGGGGAACCCCACGCAATGGACTTTGCGTTGAAGTCCCCCAGCACAAGGACGTGCCCAGACGCTAGTCGCCGTATCGAGGTCTCCAAGCTGGTTAGGAAAACCTCGAAGTCGTTCAAAACTCCGGTTGGGGGAGAAATAAACACCATATATGGTGATCCCCCCCCACTCGACGGCAACATATCCAGTGCCCTTGTCTCTTAGCGACAAGGGCGGGGAATGAGCCGTCGTGGAACCGACGACTGCCACGGAGCCGTCCCAGTCACCCATCCAGTTTGGACGGGGAGGGACAGAATAGGGCTCCGCGACTACGGCAACACCTATCGACCACTGTGCCATGGTTTGCAGGAAGAGATCCTGCGCCGCGGCACAGTGGTTCAGGTTCGTCTGGACCAGGAGGCTGGAGACCCGATCCATTACTGGATCGTCTCTACAGCCTCCTCCATGGGCGACGACGTCGACGCACGAACTACATCGGAGGCAGCCTGGGTCGACTGGCTAGCCCCCGATGCTTGCTGAGAGTTGCGGGGAGGCTTGCAGCCCCCCTGCCCCATCTGATGATTGGCGGGCTTGTTACCCGCCGCACACACCGGGCAGTGAGGGGCGGCAGAGCATTCCACCGCCACATGCCCCGGTCGACCACAGCGGAAAACATAGTCCGCTGCAGTCGAAGCAGCTTTGGCACTTGACGCGCGTGTGCCCCGATGCTAGGCATTTTGTAACACCTCATCGGTCTCGCCGCAGGGACTGTGATCCTAGCGCTCACGAAACCGATGAGCAGCCTGCCGGCGTCGGCCAATACTTTGGCCGACGCTACGGGACAGCTGACCCACACGGCGCCAAGCCCCCCCTGGACCGGGGCGGATGGTGCCGACCCTGACGTTGTCCGCGCTGCACCCCGTCTTCTCCCGGATTACAGCGCGGACATCTTCGGCCGTCACAGAGTCGTCCAGGCCCGAGATGCGCAGCTCCGCGCACTTGGTAGGCCTGGCGATCTTGACACCATCTGTGGCCGCGAATAAACCCCGCAGCCTCTCAGCGAAAGTGTCCGCCGTCTTGGCGCCTTCAGCCCCTGGGAACTCGAGAACTCGAGCTCCCGTTTGGGCGAGGCGCATCCTGACCCCCACCGTCCCGAAGTCGTTGGCGAGCCTGTCCCGGGCCTTTTTAAAAACGGCCGCGTAGGACAGCCCGCCGTCAGCCGCCTCCGGGGATACGGTCACCACTACAGCCGCGGTTTTGGGCGGCTGCAGCTTCCGCGGCCTCTTTGCAGAGGCCGTTGCCACCGGTGGCGAAGGCTGGGCTTGGGCTGCTTTTTGGGCAGCCCTTCTGGCCCGCCTTCGGGACTTCTTGGAGCCCCTCGCCTCCTGCCAGCCCTCGTTGGAGGGGGCAGGTGCGGAGGGGCCCGGCAGGGGTGTCGGAGTGGGGAGCGGAGGGGAATGCCACTCGCTCCTCGGCGGCCGTTTTAGGCCCCGTCTTGGCGGCACTTTGGCCTGCGCCTTGGCCGGCGCCTGGGACGGTGCCTTGGCCGGCGCCTGGGCCGGTGCCTTGGCCCCCCTCCTCGGCTTTTGGGGAGCCGATGGAGTCGGGCAGACGCCGCCGCCGCGTAGGAGACGCGGCCTCCCCACTACGGGGAGCGCGGTCGGAGCGGCGGCC